AATGTATCAGTACTTCTTGTCTTCAATTTTCCAAAATTGCATTAAAATTATTAATCTTAATCAAACATTTAATTTCAGAGCCGAGAGTTTATAATTTTTGTAGATGTCAAGATAAACTTATCTCTCCCTTGTTCTATATAATTTTAAAAGATTAGCGGGACATCTTTTAATAAAATTATTCTTTTGACAGAGTTGAAAGCTTAAAATTTAAATTTTCCTATGTAGTTTTATCTTTAATTAATTTTATAGTCACTAATTTAAAAAATTATTATAAGATATTTTTTATCAATCTGCTGATCTTTTTCTTTGAATTTATTTTGGTTTACAAACTTGAATAGCAGTAGCGTAGCACGAGTGTGTCGTATTTTCGCGGATCTCCTATTGCGAGGCCGATCTCAAGAATATCTTTGAAAACGCAATATCTATGCATTTTCAGTGACAAAATGCAATATCGTGAGCAGTATATTTGTTATACTCTTTTAGAAACAGTCTTTATACAATATATATTATGTACAATTGTATATACTAGCTAAAAGATAGAACCTATGTGTTATATATTACGTTAGATCCAAGTATGAGTTCAATCTGTCGAACTGCAATTACACATAGCAATATCCCAATCTTTATTCGAAAATAATCCAATTGAAATCTCGATTACTTATATCCTGGTCGTATTTACAGTAGCGCGGTGGTATTTTATAATGTACATGAGTTTTCGAGTTTATATAAATACTCTGAAGTGGTCATGATTCGAGGCTGTCTCGTAAATTACGCCTTCATAATTTCAGAAGTATTATATCAGGACTAGATACAGTATTCCAAATATATGTATGACGTAAAATACGAAGGACTCAACTGTAAAGGATGAAATCTTTGTACAATTACATAGAAACTTACTGCACGAAATGTTGCACGTTAAGAAAGCTTAGGCCTTATCTCTAACAAAAGTGTATTCACTAAATATCTTGTGATCACAAGATAATAATGAAAATATAGCATGTAGAAGAGAATATTGACATATGAGCGAAGAAGTTAACATGGAGATTTAAATGTTTAGTATTCTTTGATCTGGAAACAGGTCTAATCCAGAGGAAGGATTAGAGATGCACCGGATAATAAAATTACCGAATATCGGATGTCACATTCTTTTCGAATACCCGATCGAATACCTGGAATAAGGCTTCCAAAAAAAAGCAAAGGAAAAATAGGAATAATAATTTTCTTTATCTTTCCAATGTGAAAAGAAAAAGAAAAAAAATGAATTGTGCAAGAAGTTCAACTGAAAAGAATAAAATTCTGCATTAATGATGATGCAAACTTTCAATTTAAAATTTCAGCCGGATATATATGTATTACCGGATACTAATGATATCTGGATATCCGACCGATAGTAAAAACAGTACCGGATAATATCGGATACCGGATATTTCCGGTGCATCCTTATTAACAGTAAGAATTACTGAGATCGTTTCAGTTGCCACACACATCTCGAAAGAGTCGATATGTAATGGTAACAAAAATTCTCTGTCGAGTCTGGTGCTCCCAGAGTTGTTTCCAACACATATTTGGAATACTACAAACATTTTTACACGTATAGTGTAAAAATGTTTCGAGATACGAAATATTTACCTTAATCCTGAAGCAAATTTTTCAAGAATATTTTTTGTATCTTTTTAACCACACTTTTCAACAGTATTTTATATCTGAAATACACATAGTTTCCACAGAATATTTTTTGTATTTAAAATACAATCTACACACGATGTCTTTGCCTAGTCCTGAATATATCATCTCGGTTCTTTTTCTCATAAAATTAAGCGAAAAACATATAAACAATCAAAAATTATTATCCACACGATTATCCATTGAGAACTATTGTAATTAATCAACAATTCAGGCAGTATATAGCTAATAAAACGTTATATCGAAAACACTAGTAATCTAGAGTTTGATCACTCGTTTAGAATACTAGTCTGCAGTAAATTACAATAATCCAGATAGCAAGTTTCCTACAGGTTGTTGTCAAATATCAATTTGCTTGAAACTGCTTTAAGTTGTTTTCAATATTGAGAAAAGTAGTTTCCAATTTTGCCTATTGGATTACTGATTTTTTATCGCTACCAACAGTTATGAGTAACTTCATGGCAACATTCAGGCAACAATTGGTCAGTTGTCCTCTTACAAACCGATGGCATAATAGATTATTGAAAATCCAGATGGTACAAAAAATTTTCGAACTATTCATCCACAAGGTGAAAAGATCGAAACTGTCAAAAGAATTATTTACTTTCATTTTGAAATCCAATTTTGAAGACTCGCCTCCAAGCAGCCTTCTACCATTTCATCATTATTTCGTTAGAACACAAGAGAAATCTCATAATGTTGCGTCTTTTATTCTATTCTATGATTTTTATTTACGAGAGATGCAGCTTCATCGTGCCCACGGCGGTGTCGTTCGCAGATGAGCGAGTTCATTAAAATTTTCATTTCATTATATTTCCATTCAACTGATGGAAATGTAGACTAAATATTTTACGAAAACGGTTTCAAACAGATTGTAGCAACTTTTATGACAATAAGTATGCAACGGTATTTCCATTACTGTGCAGGCAAATCATTGTCCACATAAGGTTGGCCTAAACGGAATTATTATTGCCTTGATGACAACAACATGATGGCAACTGAAAGGAAACTTGTGCCAAGCAGTTATTTTCTTTCGAGCTAAGGAACGCTTTTCTAAGTAAGTATTGTATGTATAAAAAAATAATTTATGAACATGTATAAATCGCTTCATTCCCAATTGTGAACACTCTTAATCACTGATTTAAGTAATTAGTCTGTTCGAACGAAACGAAAATTAATATTGTCGGTAATAGCTATTTAGCTGCACATTTCCCACTATTTACGACAGCTCATCGATCGGTCAATAGCTTACAAACTTTTTGAGCTATATACACTTCCAGAAACACGCAATACCTGAGAATTCGTGCTGGAAATTACAGTACTTAGACAGTCTTACATAATAGCTGCAGATCATCTCGAAAGTAATACGCATAGCGTATTAATAGCGGCGTAAGCTGCTATATGTAAAATAAACAGAAGCTGGGAGGACAACGACGAAGCAGACGCTGCGTTTGGAGTCTTCATTAAGACCTCGCACACTCCTGAAACAAAATGCAAATATTGAATATTTATATCATGCTTACTCATACTTTTAAATCCAACATAATGTAATATATCTTGAAACTGTAGCGAAATGTGATAAATTGTAATTATCTATTTTTTTTTAAATAAATTGTTCTAACAAAATATTACCTGAATATTTCAAAAATTGTGGTAAATATTGAGATGGAGGGAGCCAGCGCCGATGATCTTGACCTTGACATGTGTTGTCAAGGTCATAATCTGGTTGGAGCAATCTCCAACAGGTTGTAGCTATCGCTCGTTATTCGTTAAAAAGTTATTAATAAAAGAAGTTTAAAAAATATTGTCTTATTTCTAGTATATACAAATACTACCTTACATCCCTTACTTACAGAACAAAATGACTTTCCACGTAAAGGGAGGTCCACTCTATCTCCCCCCCGGCCTAGAAGCGCACGACTTTTCACGTGAAGCGAGTTCCATCTCACCTTCTCCTACCTAGGGGCGCGCAACTTTTTATGCAGATGAACCTTACTTCACTTAGAAAGTCGCACGCCCCTAGGAATGAGGGAAGTGGGATGAAGCATGCTTTGCGTGGAAAGTCCTGTGCGCCTAGGCAGGAGGGGAGGTGAGATGGACCTCGCTTTGCATGGAAAATCATTAGGTAAGCAGAGAAAAATAGTTCTTAATACTATATGTGGCAAAAGTAAGACATTTCTTGTCAAACTTTTTAATAAATAACGAGCGATGACTGAAGTATGTTGTCAAGATCATCGCACCGATGCACCTGGCTCCCTCCATTTCAATATTTACCCGTAAAAATCTTTGTAATTTTTCGATTATTTTTAATCGCAAAATATCGTATATTTGTGATTACCTTGATTGGACAGCCTAAAAGTCCATTCATCCTTGACTTCTCTTTGACAAGTACGCGATGGCCTCGAAAGCCATAATTCTTTTTCTTGCTTCTGTCTACTGCCTTTGTCTTTGACGTTTTTGAGAAGCATAGAAAAACAAAACGTTTGTCCTGTACTGCCCGGAATTTCAGAATTCCGTTGTGACGCTATCGTATACCACATTCCTTTCTCTTCCCAGCTGCCATGACAAGAATAGGCTGCCAAAATATATCGAGTATTTAGTCTTTTTTATCTTTTTTACATCTTATGTACACCTTTTCATATAAATTATAACAAGTAGTAAATGTTCACTCATATTTACCAATCTTTTCATGTTCGCACGTATTGCCGATTATTATTTCGGCTTGATCGGACGGGGTGCAGCCAATTTGAATATCCGTACTTCTGCATTCCTCGTTTTCGTTTTCCTGCCAAGTTCGCCTCTTGGTCGTCCTCGATAGCTCGCTACGCCGCTGTCGACTCGGTGCGGCGGCTGACAATGCATCCGATGAAGCAAAATTCAGAATCTCATACTGTCCTGAATTAGGACATCTTCTCTGATGCAAGAATGTAGCTGTATAAAAGAGACATAATTTGCATATGTTTTGCTACTCGCCCACTAATCCGTAATACCATAATGAAGCGCAAAAATTTCCTATATCAATATTTATAAGGGATGACATAACACAGATTAGCACTTACTTATCAAGGTCGTATACGGCATCGTGGAGGGATCCGAGATTGAGCATGCTTCATCTGGCATAATTGCTTTTTGATCTGCAATAAAAGAAAAAAACATTTTATATATATTACGTAATGCTGATTTTAAATGCTGTATGCTACAATTTTTCTCACCTGACTGCTGTATCTCGATAATATGACTGTCTCTTTTGTGAAATATCATGCAAACGTAACCAATATCGCTGCAACCATAAATAAGATTCGAACAACTGTGATGTACGTTAAAAATCTCAAGAGAATTTAGAAATCACTCACCAGCCGCTGGTGACATGAGCTACCAGTTTCACTTTATTCCCTTGCATGTTGTCATTCGGGTATAGCTTCTCCAAATTGTGACAAACGATTTTTTCCTCATGGACGATTTCGCCATCACTATTCTGTGCTTGCATCTTTACTCTCAGCGTCGCGTTCTTGTTTGTAAAATGATAGCTTTTTGTACCATTGAGAGAGTGCCAGACATGGTGTTGAGTTACCCAGGCAGGATATTTGCATCTACTGTGCTCTTTGTCAACTGTTAACACGAGAAATAATGTGAAAGTATAAAAAGATGGCATAATCATTTTGATTTATCCTGAAAAAACCTTCTTATTTTGTTTGTATAATTACCTTTAATAAGTTTTATGGTGGGTGAACCTTCGGAAACTGTGGTGAGACCGTTGCAAGTCGGATCGCCGGACTGTGCAAGTAAATAAATCATCTTTCCCTGATGATGAGACTTTTCTTCGTACAGGAAACATCTATCAAATAAAAAACATCATTCGATAACGATCTTGAATTTTTCGAAGAGATTTTTTTATTTTTCTTGTTGATTAGTCATCATGTTTCATCAGCGTACATATATCTACATACATATACGTTTTATGGAGGGAACTATAATAATGATGTCTATGTGAAAGATGACAAATGAATGATTAACCATCTTTTCATCTTGCCAAGTCTAAGTCTTTATACGTCATTAACACCATGACATGAAATGTGACTGAAACCGCAATACATAATCCGATGTATAGGTGCAATGAACGTATAAATAAGCTATTTGATACGCGCAGTATAAGCATACCGCGACAAAATCGCAACAAAAACTATTGCTGTCACGGACTTTGGATAATACGTTACACAGAATTAAAATATAAACATATTTCACACCTGTAGGTTTTTGCGTCATTCAGTGCGCTCCTTTCTTTCAAAGTTCCCACGAGATATTTATTTCGACCATCATTCCAACTGGCAAGGCATTGTAATTCTTCGGCTGCAAATAATCAAATATATAAAAACTTCATATTGTATAATATAAAAAAACAAAAATTTAAGATATTATAAAATATAGTTATGTGTATATATTTCGAATATGGACTTGGTTAGGTGGCGTGAGCTGTGCGATTTTTATGCGAATAGCGAAAATTTTTAGAAAGTAGACAAGCTAGCGATAACAGGAGAATAAAGTTTAGAGATAGGAGAAGTTGAGCAAGTAAAGGAGAAATCGAAAGCAGAGTAGAAGGTGAGTTGTGACGTATATAATAGAGATAGACCGGAGAGTAAAGTTATGGCGGTGAATGACGCGGAAGGCCCGAACAGGAAAACGGGCATAGGTAAGATGATTGACCCTAAATAGAGGAAATTAACGACAGAAGTTAACGATCTGTCCTTGTTTAACATTTAAAAAATGTTAAACAAGGACAGATAATGAATCCGAGGCATCGAGCGACATTTCCGAACGCAGCCAAATATTAATTGCGAACGTCAATAAGTGCTTGCAACATCAATAAGTATATTTCATACACGTGCTGCAAAAGTACGGTGTAATATTGTAGATTAAGCACGGTAGTGCTCACTGCTTGATCCAATACTTTTAATGATAATACTTTTACAACGATCAACTTACTGTTGCTCTCGGTTCCCACGACGTCCGGACAGGCCTGATACTTGAGGAGGAGTTTGCTCTCGTCAGTACATTTCTCCACGAGACTTATAGGCATAGCACACTCGCCGTAACCCCGATTGTACGTAAATGTGAACGATGCCCCGCTAAATGGGCAAGCTATCGGTTTCGAGTTCACACGGAACATCGAATAGAGCGTATCGTCCGAAGTAATTTCCGAGCACATGTTTTCCAAACGCAATCGCTCCGGGTTGCACCAGCCTGTTAAAATAATTATGAAGTTGTAATGAAATTTCTTCCTGAATTGCACTTAAAGTTTTACATCTAATTCGATGAATTCGGATTTAATGAACGTACCTTCGCGATATTGAATAACGTTCTCATGGCGTCTGTTGATGATCATACAGTGATAACAATTATCACCACTGAAACGACAAGCAAAATGTTTAGTCAAAGATACCAGAAGAATTGCGGATTATCGCCGTGTTTTCATCTATTGCTAATGCCAACGTTTCGTGAACGACAAGGTTCACGAAATATTGGCATTAGCAATAGATGAAAATACGACGATAACCCATAAACTTTCTGTGATATCTTTGAAGATAATACCTGTGAAAGGCTAAAAAGCTTTATCAAAATGTTTATTGTCAGTCGCAAATTAATTTGCGATGAAATGATGGAATGATGATTCAATATTTTTTTTGATGTAAATGAGAAGATACTTACAAAACGATATATTTGTCATCCGTTCTTTCGATGCATGTTCGTTCCCCGAGAATGGTCGTGTTTATAATGACTGATTGAGGCTTGCCATATTGAAACCATTCTCCTGACCAACTCGATGGAAACTCGCAAGATCCTGAAACATAAGGAATCTTTTAATGCGTGCAACAATGCAACAATGAATTCTAACGTATTTTAATCAGTGATTCCTATGATCGTACAATTATGAATCGGACCGATGTGTTCAAATTACGCTCAATTTTTTCATAATAAATTCTTTAATATAAAAATAATTTAGGTCTTTAACATAATAAATAAATTAAAAATCTTTGGTAAATTATATGTTTTTATTCGCTATTTTAAAACTGAATTGTGTGTCAAATGATATCTTATGATGAGACATCAATGACAAAATATTTTCAAGTTGAGCTGAGAATTGGTTTAAGAGATATAGGGAGTCAAGTAGTCAAAGTTGATTAAAGTGTCAGCATACGCCTTGCAGCACGAATTTATCTTGATTGATGTCTCATAAGATACCATTTGGAATAAAATCACAATTCAATTTCAAAATCGTAGGACTAAAAACGGAAAATTTTTGTAGTCGCCTTTTCTCAACAAAAAAAGATTTAAACATATAATCTTTTTAAAAAATATATAAGCTTCTCTCTCTTTCTATCTCTCTCTCTCTAATTAAAATTTTATTGAACTAAAATCCAAAATTAATTAAATATAAATTAAAGAATGAGTTTTATGTTATCTTGTTCATTGGTTATCAAATTATTCTATATATAATATTTTATATATTACAACGTAAATCTCGTGTAAGTTGTTTCTCCAGATTACTATATACATATAGGGAAAATCTAGCGATAAGGATTACCGAGAATTTTATTATATTTTATTCTATTCGTTACAAGATACCTTGTAAAAATAGCTCGTTCGTTAAAAGGATTTTCTTCGACACACAAGTAGAAGATCAGTTTTTTTTTAAATCAAAAGTCTACGTTCAGGTGGAGATCCGAAAGCGAAGACTCGCTTAATTGGAAGAATTAAGAGGCTCCACGTGATCAAAAGCTTTCATCAAGAGACGCGGATGATTAGAAAATTGCTATCAGGCCCAATACAACACTATTACTACGGTCGGGGCGTGAGAGTCAGGCTAAAGAAAGGGAACTGCCGCGAGTTGCGTTGCGTATGTGTCGCGAAGCGACGCGAGCGATGCTCGGAACGCGAGTTAGAAAAAAAAAAGAAAAAGTTGACGACACGCGGACCGCATTACCAGTCATTTTCCCAGCCTTCGTCGCCTCTTTATCTTAGTCGCCAGCCGTCAAGCGACGCTATTTAGCGAGTTTCTAATGAAAAGTTGCCAGACAGGACGAGAATGCTCTAGCCGAGCGGAAAGTTTTCAGACGTACGAGGCAAAATGGAGCAAACATGATGTGGACGATCGAGTACCTTTGAGTTCTAAAGGTTTATAAATAGCAAAAGGATATTGTTAAATTTTTTCAGTAACTTAATCTGCTGGGACCGTTTCGTCTCGATAAAATACTTTATCGGATTTAACACCATGAGTTTTAAATCCACACCATAATGTATTTTGTTGATATAAACATGCAGAGGTTATAAATCTACACCATATTGATATATACATATATATATTAAAATTAACATTGATACGGTAAGAATTATACATATGGACACCGCATGGTGTTAAATCCACCTTGATATTTTATAGAGTACGATAAATTATAGATATCAATTAATTACATGCAGCTTCAAATGAGGAACTTTAAAACGTTAAAGTCAACTAAACTTTCGTGAATGAATTAATTTTATAAAATGAAATTTATTAATAAATCGTTTATTATTGAAATTTATTAAGTTATTCATGTTCATGTATATGTGAGGGATCCTTATAAAATATTCTTATGGACCGTGGTCCCTCGAGGTTGGACGATAAACGCTCTTGGACGTAGGGTTTAGGTTCGAAAGCATATGACTTTATGCGTAGGTGTATTTACCGGTTCGCGATGTTTAGTGCGTTCGATCGAACGTGCGTATATTTCGGGGTGGTTGCTTGTTCGGCGGCGCGAGCGATGGCGAACGTCAGAAATAGCCGGGAAGAGGGCGGAGGAACGGAGGGTGCGCGAAGGGAAATGGGATACACACGCGACAGAGTCTACGGGGTGTCTCAGAACCGATTCAGCCTTTAATATTAATGACGGGCACATCGACGAAAATGGAGTCGGTGGTGTTTTCTCGAGGGGGATACTTCGTAGGAGGCCATTACCGTAACAGCCGACATAAGTCATCTCTAATTAGAGTTCTAAAGTGTTCGGACACCAGGAAAGCAACACGGTTACTTACTACAACGTACATTCAAATAAACGTTGAACCACGGCCGATTACTCTGCTTCCTCAGTTTGCAGGAAAGGGGTTGCTCGAGCCTTTGCAACTCTTGTAGATCGTTTGTAACGTAGATCGTTGAAAGTTATCACCTTCCTCTCCGCAAGATTTAACTCTACTCCGACTCCGACCGGGGGTTCTCGGTTCTCGGACACCTTGTATGCTAAGCAGTACGCGCACGTGCACCATGCGCGAACCGAGCACTCGAGCAGCCATCAGCGACGTCGAACGCCGCGCCGGCATGAGCATAGCCCGCATAGCACAAGCGAAAAGGAGGAAGGGCGAGGAAGAGCGACGACCGTTTTAGACACGCATCTTTCGTCGAAGAAACATCATTTATCTCGACGTAGCCGGGAGAGAGGGTGGCGTCTTTTCTCTCTCGTTCCTCTTTCACCCCGTCTCTGTCGCGATCGGCTTCGACGATGAGAAGAAGCGGCGACAGATATCGCAGGCGCGCGGACAGCCGCTCGACAGAGACGGCGGCGGGCGCGGCGACGGTTTTGTGCGTCTCGACGTCTTCGCTCTTTAACAGCTCTTTTTGAGAGAGGCTCGCGGGTGAGGCGCGAAGCCGTAGGAAATCGGGAGAAAACCACTCGTTAACGAGCTAACGAGTACGTACGAGAGCGCATGGTTTCTCGCGCGCGCGAACAACCGAAATCGGATGGAGACATTGGAGACACGAGGAAACCCAAGAAGACGACTTAACCCGGGGAAACATGACGAATGGGCTTCCTCGTAGCGGAAATGGAGTGTCCAAGTCCGCATTTAAATATATAGTCCTTTTATACAATGTGTTAAATGCACTTTTCGTGCACGTGGCAACGGTTTCTTTGTGAAACCGAGATGACTGCAGCCTCTTAACAAGAACGTGCGTCGAGACGCGCGTTCCCGAGCCGAGTGTCTTTTTTTATTAAGAAAAACGATGTTTTTTTGCGCATTGCTTTTCTCGAGGATAAATAAATAACGCAAATAAATTCTTTGTAGGGTTTTAAGATGTTTATACTAACATTTCACTTGTTTTATTTTAAATGAATCCGATAGTGTTTCGTATATTTTTTTGATAATTTTAAATCTGTTTGGTAAATTTACGAGGATAGCAGGGTTTTTGAGTAACATTAATTTAAAAATGCTTTCACTTTTTTATTTCTTCTGCTCAGACATAAATAAGTGATTCATAGGAAATAAGTAGCTGTTAAATTTAACATGATTTTCTATTACACATTATAAAAAACTTCAAACAAAAATTAATTATTTACAACGAGTTGTTGTTAGCATAAAATATGTATAAGTTTTCAAAAGAGATACGTCAATTTTTTAAAAAATTGGAGCCGGTAAGATAAATTCTAACTTTATTTTCAGAATCGGTACCAAACAATACATAAGAATCAGTCAAAATTATCCCATTTAACAAAATCATTGTCAACCAGTGTTGTTAGCATTATTATTATTCAATTAACGGTCATGTAATTTGTGAAATTTAGACCGCGTTTTAAAACCAGCTGTTCGGCGCACAGTTTGAAAAATTGGAAAAAATGTATTTAATAATACTCATATAAAAATATTATTAGGCACTAAGATGCCTTCTCTGTTTGTGTTATTCACAGAAGCGGTCTAATTTAACTTATTATTATAAATAACACAAAACTATTTTATTAGTTTTTAACATAACTTTTTACCTTGATGGATTCTTAAAACATAATTATCATGCTATTTAACTGTTTAGTGTATTATTAAAATTTCATAGACTGACGAAATGATAAAGGACCGTCGTCGTTCGTTGAAATGCCAAATTAAAAATTTCGATAGAAAATAAATCCCCGCTCTTAAACAGAAAATACTTTTCATTCATCAAATGCGTTTATTTCTGAATACCGTGAAATTATCCGTGACATTTTTACACGGGCGAAATTAATAAAAACATTCCAATAATTAATATTTCATGTGTTTTTTATCAAATCAAGGCAATAAAAATATAAGCAATAAAGCGTTCAAATTCCGAGTTAATATGAATTTATTTCCGAGAGCACAGAGTTAGTGATTGTCCAAATAACTTTCTCGAATTTCACGAGGTTTTAATCCATGCATCTCTATCTTTGACATGTAGTTCTGAAAAAGAGCTAAAATAATAAAATAGATATCATTCCAGATATAATAGCAACCTCTATGTTAACAACTGATACATATTGACATGGTGACTTCACTCGATAACCTCGCACCTGAACATTGTTGCAACAGTTCTTTCCATATAGAGGCCTTTTAACATTCATTAAGATGACAGTAAAGATAACATTACGATACACCGGCATGCGAGGTGAAGACGATAAAGTGGCGTTCAAGGACGCTCATGTGGACGAATAGACGTAATTATTCTCTCATTGTTCGCGTATTATCGAAGACGGAGTACACGCGCTCGCTCAGCAACCACGCGTGTATATACATAGGCTACGTTTATACCGTACATTTAGGCCGCGGCCTATACAATAGATGTCCTTGTTTATCCTATAGGTTAAGCAAAGACACCTATCGTATAGGTCGCGGACTAAGCGCACGGTGTAAACGTAGCTATACTCGTACGCAGACAAACTCTCAGCCTATTCGTAGGTGACTCACCGTTTGCAGAGGGTAAATCGACCAATGGTAGTATCAGCAGCACTAACACCGATAGCGGGGCAAGGATCCCTTTTCGGCGCGGGAATGCCAGTTCCTGCATCCTGGAAAATATATATGTACATTTTCATTATACATTAACGTTGAATTATGCATGGCGGTTTATGTGCGAATTTCTGACGCGAGCGGCGAGTATTTGTCGAGACGTCTTATTCTTTTCTCAAACAAATTGCAAGTTATCGAGTATAATTGTGTAACAGTCCACAAGAGATGAAAAAAATGAAAAAAATTTTTTGCTCATCATAATATGTGTCTTTTCGAATAAAACAAGATTCCTTGTGGTATTTTCTCTATCATCAAAAACAATGGAGATATTTTAAATGATCAAGTTACAGGAAACACCCTGTATAATATTTTATAATACATTTAAGATGTCAGATAGGTATTTAATATGCTTAAGGGGATCCTAAAACGAAGCTCAAACTCCAACAAAGTCACTAGACGTCGCTGTTTTTTCAGCGCATCTACATGTCTTTATATACTACCACACTAATATCTCACGCACCTATGATACATTTAGTCGCACATTCGTGTCAATTTTCGTATAACAAATTCGTCGCGATAAAGCGTCTAAGACTAATTCTAAGAACTCGACGTTACTTGTTCGTGTGCGAACTATGTGTTTGTGGATCACTATTTCGTAAGAACAAGTTGCAAAACTTTCGTATCAAACAAATGTTGTCACGACTTGACAGCTTGAGACGCCATGTTATACTAAAGGCCGGGATCCATAGTCCGTTCTTAATCTCAAGCAATGTCTTATGATGCTAATACGACTCTCCGATTGGTTCATGCACTAGACTGCTTAAGACTATTTCGAATCTTGAGCAACGTCTATGGATTCCGTCCTAAGAAATGGTAAAAAATATATCAATTTCGAAATTTTTGGTCGTTCTCGGCATAAACTCCACCTCACAAACACATATTAATGCGTATACTTTAATCCTGGAAAAGGATTTTCGAATCTGAAGGAGAAAAAAAGTATTTGTTATACAAAAATTATATGATTTAGTCGGTAATACAGACGGCTTTAGTATCCCCTTAATGTCGACATGTTTAAATTCAATTATACTGCTATTATATACATCATAAAATTAGATCATATTATGTCACAAGATCCAACTATCTTTTTATTTGTCACAAAAAATAATTTGCTTTAAATGAGTGCTGTTCTTTGTACCCGTTTGTAACACCATCGGTTTTGACGGATACAAACGATCCCGGAACAAGCATCCGTTTACAGGTTTGAAATATCTCAAAGTGTGGGGTACTAGCATTTTTTTCTACTCTTTATAATTTTGAACTCCTTGAAGTATAAACGAAAAGGAAGATGGTACAAGCCGAGCTTAATTTAATGCTTATTAAAAAATTTTTTTTTAAAGTTGGGTGTCAGATTCACACAGGATAATTACAGCGTCGATTCTTAAAGTCTTTATTCTCCTGTTTTAAAAAAATTATAATAACTATAATTTTATCAACAAATATATGTATACGTATAGTTGTATGTGACAACCGAAAATAACTATAATTATAATTTCGTTTGTAAATTATACATATTGGTTGATAGAACTAGACATACATATAATATTCTTGAGACTTCTACGGGTACTTTCTGAGATACAGAAATTATGTATTTCGCGGATTATCTCCAAATTTATTATATCTCCATTCTTAGAATGTCAATGTTTCGTGAACATCGCAGTTCACTTCATCAGAAGCAGTCTACAGATACTTAGATATCCGTTATGATACTGAGATATCCCCTACATTTGTATTATGTCCGCCCTGTATTATGTGTAATAAAAATCGATATTATTAAAACGATATTTTAAAAATATATATGAGAGAAAATCTGACGTGGTACTAACTGTGAGCGATATTGTACGAATATTAAAAGTAGATCGCTACATAAGTAGCACAAACCACGTGTCTTCGTGACGATAAAGCACGAAGCATGAATAGTGGGGATGGAAAAAGGTGATAGATAACTCGATGTACAGAACAAATAAGATAAGTAGATTAGGTTTATTTACTTTGAAGCAAATGCTTTAAAAAAACAAAAGAAGAGGAGATAAAAATAATACATAGACAGTACATAACGAAACAATATCGATTTACAATGTGACATTATCACAAAAAAATAAATGTAAATTAATATGACAACAAAATAATTATATAACAAAATAAAAAATTGTGAAAATGGATATATGTCTAAAAGAATAATGTCTTGAAGTGATAGACAAATGAAAACAAAACCAATTTATTATTCAAAACGAGGGCGCTCTAAGAAAATGATTTATTTATTATTTTTTAGTTATTACGCGCGCGATTAATGAATTCAATGTTTAATATATTGATTTCATAGTGCAGCTCGATCTTCTGAATTATTGCGGTCCCATCATATTGAATTTATTTCATCAAATTGAGATACGATTCGCTTAATGATTTAATCGATGCGTTGAAATAAAGGCGGCGTTATTCCTTACTAAAATTCTTGCGACAATTCTCCTTATATCTCACCTTGCATTATGCCTAGATCTATGTTTCATATTCACGGAAAAACATGGGTTATATTCCGTCACCAAAAAACCGACGACATCACGACACTTGGAAAGAATCGCTGTGCGGAATGTGCTACATAACTACTAGGTATCGTAAATGAATCATGTGCTCTATAAAATCGATATCTCGAAAACGGAACGACTAGTCGCTTTCCGTGAATTAAAGAAACATCTGTCGTGTGGACAAGCATACATTTCCTCTGTATAAATTGCTTTCGTTTGATTCCATGATTTGGGAAATTTCGCTTTTGTATCAGTAAAGTTGACTAAATTATCCATTTCTATTAATTGTAAGTTAGATTAATTTTAATCTCAGTTTAACTCACCATTTGTATCTTTCTCCAGTTCTAAGAATTAAAAAAACTTTACGTAAAGTTTTTTTAATTCTTAGAACTGGAGAAAGATACAAATTGTGAGTTAAACCGAGCTTAAAATTAATTTAACTTACAATTAATAGAAATGAATAAAGAGTATTACAGTAAAACCGAGTTAATCTACATTGATAAAAATGGACATGTGTCATGCTACATGCTCATAGATAACGAAACTTAATCAACTGACGGATAAAATCGATACGTTTGAATGAGAACAACTAATCCTGTTCTGTGACTTGCAGATTATAGGTCCCGCGTCCTATCGTTGAACAAAAGCACTCTCGAGATGAAAAGCTAATAAATAAGGATGCACTGAATATCCGAAAAGTATCCGATATCCGATATTATCTGACACTTTTTTACTATCCGACCGGATAGCCGGCTATCATTAGTATCCGGGAATATATCCGGTTGAAATTTTGTATCATAAAATTGTTGATATTTTATTATACAAATGTTTTAGAAATAAGTATGCATATTCATAATGCCATATTAATATCTTATACATTGTTGCAAAATTACGATTTTTTCTCCACAGCTGCTTTTTTAGAAGACAGTTTCCCGAAATCCGGTCGGATATCCGGAAAATATCGGAAGAAACTGCCTTCTCAGATATCCGACCGGATATCGGATATCCGATGTTACATTCTGTCCGGATATCCGATATCCAGTATCCGGTAATTTTACGATCCGGTGCATCTCTACTAATAAATTCAAGCAATTCAAAGATTTCTCCGTGCAATAATATTTCTTCTTACAATAATTTCACGCAAGATTTATTAAGCGCAAGAAAAACAAAATACCTACATTAATTGCCTTGAAAATCACCCGCAATCGTGTACTCGATTTTTTTTCGTCGACCCAAGACGTAACCGGTAATTTTATAAAAACACCAATTAATCACACTTTCACAACAATATATGTACACCTACGTACGCACTACGACGCTCTAATTGTAAGAGGCGAAACACGGTAGGCGAACAACTGTCCTGTAAGAAAGTCGAACACAATATTGTTATGTCCACACATGTCCTCCTTCTTTTTACGATCGCGCCGATTCCATGAAAGAGATCGAAAATTTACTTTACGTAATCAATGCTTATCTCATCATGGATGACGAGAGCTAACCGAGACGCTCTATGCAATGGTATCTTTCGCGGGACCCGAAGCGAAAATCTAGAGCGGAAAAAAGAGGAGCAACGCGACGAAAACGCGAAACGCACTACGGACCGTCGTCGTCGATCGCGCCGGAATGGAAACGAGATGGCTATAGAATCGAGGACTATAGAAGCGACGAACATCCCGGCGCGACGGGCGAAGCCGCGCTAGAGACGCGACGTCGGGCGTCCACGTACGTATCGCCACGTGAATGGAAAGAACAGCGATTGCATTATTTAACAAGGTACACGTGTACCGCTCTGCTTTGTTACGATGCGCGGCAGCGACGCGACACGAACGCGAAACCGCGAAACGCTCTTCCCCCGTGTCGCCTTCGCGATGCGTGCAGGCAGCGCGCAGCGTCATCGTATCCCATATTTGAACATGCGTTTTACGCACTCGTCAGTCGTCATCACGCAATATCGATCTATTCGGCGCGACGCGACGGCGTTCCAATTCGTCGCTAGTTCGTCGATCGCGCGATCTCGCAAAGGGGACTCACTCGCATCTTTTCATCTCTTTTCGCGCCTTTTCTCGGCTGTGTTCCAAATTTACTGCCAGCACAGAAAATGCTACAGTTTACGTGCACTATAGATTTTCAGTACTGGCAGTCAATTTTGGAACACAGCCTTCGTCGTTCCGACTCTTCTCTATTCCCCAAACTGAAAAAAAAATCGATAACACTATATGCTACGACTATTTAATTTCTTTCATGGTAAAATGAAGAGATTATTTCAGGAAAAAGAAAGATATATCGGACTTGGATGCTTACAGAAATAAGTAGATACATCAAATATTATATTTTATATTTAACAAATGAGTCTCAAAAAATTTAATTTTTATTAAGATGATATTTACTTAATGACTATCGGGAAACGAGGTCTTCTATTCTTCATTATCTGAAAAGTTCCATTCGCATTCTTTAAATTACAATAATGTTTTTTCACACAG